CACAGGTTCCAGACATGTATGCAAATTACTCGACACAATACAGTAACATTGTCACTGATTATATTATGTATTGATGTTATACAGGTCGTCATATGGTACGTATTATCGATTGATGTTAATGGAATTAGTAGATGCTGTCAAAAAGTTTAAAATTGGTAAATCTTCGGATACAGAACAAGACAGAATTCAGAGACTTATTCGATGGAATGTTGCTATTAGGCTGCTACATGTTCTAGTTAATCTGTTGAAAATATTTGATGCACGGATTAATCTCACATCTATTTTGAAGGTAGTTACAACATTTAGTTTCTCTTTATCACATTAAGTCATGGAGAAAAGATCACAGTTTAAGGAACTCATTGACAACTAAAATCAAAAAGGAAATCTGGAATTTTTTTTTAGCTAAAGAGCAAATAAAAAGGAATACCTTAATTTGTTTCCATGACAACAATGACTTTGTGATTTTTTTCCATTTAAATAAGCCCAACTCCAGCAGCCATTTTGAATTGAAAAATCTACAACTATGGTTCATAATTCAGATGTTCAAATAGCCAATCACCGTGAATAAGTTTCATGAAATGTTGTATGTAGTAATAACCTACATGTATGTGTGTGTGTTTTATTCCCCAGTATGGTAGAATGTTTGTAGAAGTGTTCTTACGGCAAGGTATGCCCATGTTGGATAGCATATTCAGACACCATAGGGAAGACGTACAGGGATTACTGAAGAATTTACAACAAAGTACCAGAGCATTACAACACTTGTGTAGTCATACCAAGGTTTGTTTTATGAATAATTATCCAATTTGCATAATCTATTCTGAATATGTTTCAGGTGTGTCTTAAATTAATCTTTTGTATATGTCACACTTTGTATGTCACACTATTTTTCATCGTCTTGTGCTAAATAGTTTTTGATCAAATTTGTGATGCATGTCTACTTTATGAAAGGTGACTTTTACATACAAAGGGTAAAATCAAACTAAAAATTAATGTTAATTTTATTTATATCATTTATCATGAAATATAATCTGACTTGGGCGATCAAAGGGTAATTTTGTTGTTTCCTAATACCATATATATTCTACAAACCTGGATGATGTATGAATGTTTTCTTGTAATTACATTGCAGGTACTGAAGGATGTGTCCCTCACCAATCATGTACCAGCGTTAAAGAAATGTCTTGAGAGCTTTGTGTACAGAGTCAAGCATATGCTGACTATACACAAATGCCATGAAGCGTTCTGGTTGGGAAACCTGAAAAATAGAAACTTACAGGTCTGTTAGCTTCTGAATATGTATATTAACAATTCTCCTTCCTCAATATAAGCATGTTTGTTTATTTACCTTATTATAGCTCTATTAGATAGTAGTGAAAAATGACAAGTGTGTATCTATATCATATTTGAATGATCTAGCAAAATATATAAATGCAAGTTTTCCGTTTATTTGTGTTTCTATAGAAATTCACATTAAAATAGAGAGAATAAAATATTTCTCTTCTTGATGATTTTATTTAATGGTGTGGTAGAAATATCTCTACACCAAAACCAAGAAAACAATAGAAGAACAAACAACTGACAAACATAATACTTCACCAAATCAGTGAAAGAAAGATATATGTAAGGTTTGAGGGATACAGCCAAATGATATCAGTGGTCTTTAAAATTCAATTTCAAACACCTTAATTGACAATAACTTGCTTTCACTTGAAAGGGAGAAGAGATTTTATCTCAGGTATCCAAAGCAGAAACAGATGATGAGGAGGAGGAGGACGAAGATGAAGATGAAAACGACAACAATGAGAGTGATGTAGTAAGTTATTTTAACATTCATATTTAAATTAGTTTTATCATCACAATCAGGTACAACTCCTGTTGAGCACATCGGTGGTCGGTTGTTTATAAAAACATTGCATACATGTATAAGCGAGTTGAAATGAAGAAGTTCAGTTTCATTGCTAATTCTAAATTGTTTTACAGGAAATGGAAGATGAGAGCATAGCCAGTAATGATACTGACATGCAACAAGTTGATGACCATGTCCCTGGACAAGATATTAGTGAAGTCTATTGATTACAGCATTGTTAACACAATATGGAAAAGCTATTAAAGTATTTTTTTTTTCAAAATTCCAAAAGGTGCTAACATTTCAAGTGTGTGAGATCTAAATTATAACAAAATGGACATGAATATTATCAACAATTTAAAAAAATGATGGAATGCAATTTACATAACCAGCGATTTGCGAATGTTTGAAAGAGATTTCATTCAGCACACTTCAATCGAACATGCTTCTAACTAATTGTATTACAGAATGCAGTGTGTGCTTGGAAACGTTGAAAGCATATATAGAAATGAGCAAGACTACTGCTACCTTTAAATACACAAAACGCTCATATTTAACGATTTGCAAATAAGCAACGTCACTACCAAAATGATCTGAGATAAAAAAAAACACATTTCTCTCACAGGCTCACTAATTTTACTTGCTATGTTGTAACCATATCACATTTCGCACGACTTCTTCAATTCGTATGTGAACTTCATCGCATATCACACACTTGCCTTAATCTTATTACCCTTCATATTATAAATCAGGAGAACATCTGATTGGCTGATTCATACCTAACAAAGAGTGTACTTCCATCAGTGATATCAATTATTCAGCAAAACACTTGTGGCTTTGCAGAATATCTGTGTAACAAAAGTTGGTGATATTGATGCTTGAATCAATATAACTTTATGATTTGTAATCAAAGCATGGTATGTCCCTGAATACATAGAAATATATTATTGTGGGATATGCTAAATTTTTGCTCAAACTCTGGGGGTAATGGCTTCGTATTCATCTATAGTGAAAACCTAATGAAAGGGTTTTTTATTATTCAAATTTATACAACATGTAAGTAAGTAAATGAATCATTAACTATGTGGTACCTTTCACAACACAAACATGTATAGACTTGCAGGTAATTAAAAAAATTAAGTCCATTTTTTTTTCAAAATTAACAAAGAAATTTTTCGAAATGTTTTGCTGGGAAAATATGTTATCTGAAATTAGCAACGCAATTATCTAACAATTTTCATGAAATATTGTAAAAAAAATATTAGATGATTTATATCAGACTAATAATTAGTATTCAATTTGTAGTCTAATATTTTGATAATTACCAGTGTATGGTAATTAAATACAGTATTGTGAAATGACTAATTTTCACTGGGTTTAACTTTCACTGATTTAGCATTTCAGGCATATTCAGTGGGTTTTAAATTCACAGTTTTATCATTTAGATAATGTGTTCTATGCTCAATTTTATATAATCACTGGGTTTTAATTTAGCGCATTTTCCAGTCAGTGAAAAAAGCTAAATTATAACCCAGTGAATAATTAGTCTTTTTACAGTAGTGTGTTTACTGTTATTGTAACGTACTCTTCTGTGAACAAATTTGAATTTGTTTACATGTTTACAAATATTCTCAAGATCAGAATATTACTACCAATAACACCGCAACGGAGATAAACAACTACTTGACGTAGTCAATAACTTTTACAGTGAGTGTAAAGGAATAACATTATGATTGTTTCCCCATAAGTAGTGTGTGATTGATGTTTACAATTATAGTGCAACAATTATCTATTACTTGATTTTGTGTAAAATAAAATATACTATTAATATACTCTGTAATAATCGTTGAGTTTGAACGCTAGTTTGTTATATAAACAAAAACATTGTTGAACTATTGTAAACATGCAATACATCACATGCTTATCAAGGAAACAATTATAGTATTATTAATTTACACTTGCTGTAGTAGAGTGGTAAATTTGTGTAAAATAAAGTGCCATTTCCGCTTTCATGTAGCGAAAACCATCAGTTCGACAGAGCCCTTGTGTCGTATTGTAGTATAGTGCCCTCAGTGTTGATTTTGAGGAGAGTGTTAACTCTACTGGAAGAACTGAAAAAAATGTCACTTGATTATGTTAGGAATGTTGATAATAATCGACTTTAATCATCATTTTGTCATTTGATATTGCACATACTTTTGATATGAATAATCAACCACATTTACGTTGTTTACTGCCATGTATGTGACTGTTTTGAAGGTCAACTTTTTGTATCTCGCTTGGTTTTTTATAACATTGTTGATTATTCAACAATGATAAATATATATTGAAACTGTATTTTATTGTCTGTTTACTATTACTCAGGCAGGACAAGACTTGGAGGGTGACAGGAAGGCCGAGTTGACCCCCCCCCCCCAAGAAGGCAAGAATTTGACTTCCCTAAGGATACTTATGAGATGATCTCCTAAGCTATACTAAATATGTTGTCAATTTTGATGTTCAAATAGAGGGAACAAGATAATTGTAACATCTCAGTGAACTTTTTAGATAGTTTATGGCATCACACCAATAACTACCACTATTTCTCCAAGTTGGACAAAGTGAGTCTTGCTACTGCCAGCCAGTTGACCCCAAAAATAAAAAAAATTGTTACATGCATCAGACGCAAAGCACCTGTGGGGATTGTTGGTGATCTCTATTCTATAAGTTCTTAGGAGGGGATGGACCCAATGGTTGCTTAGCAAAATATTAGACCCTTGCCAGGCATGGCCCTGGAAACTATGAGCTACCTTTTGGTACATATCACTAGACGAGCCTGGGCATCAATTTCATAAGTCTCAATCAAGTAACATGGACAGGTAGGAAAGTGAGTTCTTCAATAGAGCTTACACGATAGAAGGAACTAAATGTACCGGTAGTTGCTAAATGAGCACTTTTTAGTCAATTTGAGTCATCCCATTAAAGGGGGATGATATCTTTATGATTCGACTGGTATCAAGAAATAGATAGCAAAGTTGCATTATAAGTACAGAAAATCATCTTCAAAGTTCAAAAAGTTGCTTTGCAATGCAGTAATGAAAGCAGTTTGTGTCATTCAAAATGTCACATGAAAGAGGGTATAGTTAACCCTGTAAGCCATTTGCAAAGCAGTCTGAAAAGATCAAAAAGTCACTTTGGAAAGCAACAAATCTGCCTGAAAAGAAACGAAAGTTGACTTCAAAGTTCGGAGAGTCAATTTGCCATGTAGGAATGTTTCCTGAAAAGTCATGTAAGCCATCTGCATCATTCAAGAAGTTGAAAAGGATGAAAAAAGTTGTCTGAAAAGTCGTGAAAAACTATATACAAACTTTTGAAAGTTGCTTTAGTTGCTCGAAAAGTAACCAAAACTGCCTGAAGTTAGAAAAGTCACTTTAGAAGGCACACAAGTTTCCCGAGTAGTCCTGAAAGCTATTTACAATATTCAGAAATTCACCTGTCAAGTCATGAATGCTATGTAATGCAGAAAAAGTGAAAAATTATGAGCCATTTGCATCACTTGAAACACATCACATTGCACAATTTGCAAAGTTTTAAAGGTTACTTTTGAGGGCGGAAAGCCATTTGTAAAATTTGAGAAAACAATTTTAAAGATAAAAGCAAAGCAACGTTCCAGAACTAACTTTTGAAAACTAGTAGCAAAGTTCAGAAAGTTGCTTTGGAACAACCCCATAAAAAGCTGTCTGCAAAGTGTGAAAAGACTTTTAAACCCAGAAAAGTTACTTCAGTTGGCAATGTTGGCAATGTTGTTTTAGAAGGTGAAAAGGTTGACTGCCAAGTCATTGAACTTGTAGGCTTTGAAAACATTAAAGTTGCAAGATAAGTTCACAGAGTTCACAAAATTTAGCAGTCTGCAAAGTTAGATGCATCGACGTAGAAGACGAAAAATTTACCTCAAAAGGAATCTAAAAAGTGCGGGAAGCTGCTTTGGAAGGCAGAAAAGTTACTTGAAAAGTTTGAAAAGCCTGAAAAGTAACAAGATCAGTCTACAATGTTGTTTTAGAAGGCGGAAAAGTTGCCTGAAAAGTCATTTGTGAAGTTTGAAAAGTCATGAAGTCCACCTACAACATTCAATACTTCACTTTGGAAGATGTCACTTGGAAAGGTGGAAAAGTTATATAACAAGCCATGCATGGCACAGTCCCTGTTAGTTATCAAATGAAGATATATAGTTTTGTTTATAATAATATAGTACAAGTACTTTAAGAGATATTGCTCTGGAGCAGCATTAATTAAAAGAAAATGACTACCGGTCAACTATTTTTAATGGGATTGTCAAACCAATACATCTGTATATCTTTGACATGATGTATAATGAATATATATAAAATTTTAACATCAGTCAAGGCCTGTCAGAGATATGGCTCTGGATTGCCTTTATTAAAACAAAATGGCCACCAGTCGGCCATTTTGAATCTTATCTGAAAAACAAAAAATGACATGCATAATGTCCAATGTATGTAGCAAATTTGAACAAAATCCATACATAAACAACTAAACTCATTCAGAAATTCTTGATGATTTTTTAGCACAAAAATCACCATCATTCGGCCATTTTGAATCGGATTGTCAAACCAATACATCTGTATATCTATGAGATGATCTATATTGATTTTTTTTAAATCTGAACATAATCAGTCAAAGCATGACAGAGATATGGCACAAGAACGACATTCATTAAAACTGCCAGTCGGATGTGCATCAAGGTCATATTATGTCCAATGTTTGTACCAGGTTCAAACAAAATCCATCTGTAAAAAGTTGGGAAATGCTTTATTTTGATGATTTTTCTGTACAAAAATGACCGTCATTCGGCCATTTTGAATCGGATAGTCAAACTAATATATCTGTATATCTATAAGATGATGTATAATGAATAGAGATATGGCACTGGACCCACATTCATTAAAACAAAATGGCCACCAATGGCCATTTTGAATCTTATTTTGAAAAAAAATATGTGCATCAAGGTCATATAATGTCCAATGTATGTACCAAGTTCGAACAAAATCCACCTGTAAACAGTCAAGGAATGCTTGATTTTGATGTTTTTTTCAGTACAAAAAAAGCCGCCATTCGGTCATCTTGAATCAGACTGTGAAACAAATTGATGTGCATATGTATAATATTATGTATGATGTATGTGTGAAGATTGAATGTAATTGGTCCAGGCATGTTCAAGATACAGGTCTGAATGCACGCACACACAGACGAACACACAGAGGTCAATCTATAAGTCCCTGTTTTTGGACTGCCCCAGAACAGGGAATAAAGAGTTACAAAAGCCATCTACAAAGCGCTGGAAGCTTTGGAAGGCAGAAAAATTGCTAGAAAGTTGTAAAAGCCACCTCCATTATTTTGAAAACTGTTTTTAATGCGGGCAATTTGCCTGAACAAAATCAGTCTGTGATGTTTGAAATGTTGTTTAGAAGGCGGAAAATTTGCCTGAAATGTTGTAAAAAAACATTTGAAGTTTGAAAAACATGTCTTCCAGGCAGACTTGGAGTAATCACATATTCAGTGATAACAACTAGAGGCCAGATGAACGGCTTCCCCCATATTTATACCAGTTACCAGAGCGAAGGCAGCAAGCTCTATGTCCCACTTGCATAACAAAAATATTTGTGCATCAGTGGCACATATCATACGAGTTTTATTCACCAAAAATGCATAATTTAAAGGCATTTGTCAACTCTACAGCACTCTGTACTGGAAATGACACAACACTTTTCCTACTACCTGAAAGACCTCCCTCCAGACAGCAATGGCTACTATATTCTGTCAAATTGTTGTGGGACAGGGGGTGACAAACTAACACAGACAGTGACGTACTGCTTGCATTATTCAGATGTATTTGACCACTTTGAGTTTTGGTAAATGGGAATTACTAGGGCATCAGATGATATACTACCCTTGATTTGATAGTGTTTTTTATGTAGCTTAAATATGTTAAAACATCATATTTATTACATTTACTATTTCACATCACTATCAATGAGTCGCGTCTAATCACTATTGATTACCATTGCAGTGTGCAGGTATTCATGTCGGATGTTCATCAGTCTTACCTCATTCCTGTCAAAGTTATACAAGTTATCTTGTAATCATAGTTTGTGTTTATTAAATCATTATCTACATTAATTACACTTGTCTAACATTTCATGTAGGTTCGATAGTGGTGCATGTCGTTTGCTCTCTGACCGGGATTCATTCCTATATCTAACTATATCGGTATATCCAAATAGTGATAGTAGTGATGGTATACATTAGAAAGAATTGCTGCAAACTACTCACCATCTAGGGAGGTGTAGCACCTTGCAAGGCACATTTTGTGATCACAGTGAATTGGTTCTTTTTTGCGGGGAGAAAAGTCACCGACTGATTATATTTGTGGTTCAACCATGACTTGTATCATTAGAAATGTGCAGAGGGATAGTAATACATTTTGTAATTAATCCCATATTTATCTACATTAGACAATATCTAACTACAAGACAAGAAAATGAAGTATAGCAGGCCCCTTAGTTGCTGGATAAAAAACATGTATTTACAAACTACATGTAGTACTTATGTAACCACAAGTACACAATTTTTGAACTTAATATTGTTTTTACTCGTGATGGGTTACCAATGAGATCATTTATAATAATCATAATAATGTCTTTAATGAAATCATATCTTGTTTAGGATATAGATTTTAAAATACAATAAAGTTTCAGATACATTCTAAGTGGCAAGACAAAATGAAAGCATAATAAAATAAAAAATAAAAGGAGCGAACAAAGACTGATTTATGTTTGTGGTTTGATTCAAACAGCCAATTAAGGGCCATGCATTTAGCTGTGATTCCATATCTGTTCGTGTGTCAGTATTTATCGACAAAAAAGTCAACAAAAGCAGAATACATTCTCACATCATACCATCAAAACTATCACAATTAAAAATATGTTTATTAAACTCTCACCAAAGTAAAAAATCGTGACAAAAACAATTAAGTTTGATGTTCTTATTCCTGATTTACTGCTCCAGACCACACATAACTTTTCTTCAGGTCAAACAAGGACAATATGATGTCACCTGAAGTAGGTATTTCCGTTGGATACTGCATCTGCTTCAGATGCGTGTGTATACTTCCCAGTCGTTTGAGAAAGATGTACAAATAAATGACAACAGTGAATACCAAAAGATCCATAATAAACAACTATCATGGTAATATTAGCAGACTATCAATTCCTGGTGTTTTAGCTATTCAACTCTCTGAAAAAAGTTCTTCTGCTGGCACTGTTTTAACAAAATCATATTCAACAAATTTGGGTGTACAGTTAAGTAGCAACTTATTTTACATGCTGACAGGTTTTTGCAAAGGTGACCTAGGTCAAACTAGGTCATATTTTATAAACCCAGCATATCAAATACTACTGTTCACATGCATTTTTATTGGAGATGCACTTCTAATAAGCAAATACGGTTTTGATATATTCATCTACTGTTATTTTGTTACCACATACTCTCCTGATTCATCGGATTAGAGTTCAGAAGAATGTGAATGTGGTAAGTGGGTGGCACTCTCATCAGCATTAACCATTAAATGATAGTAGAAATTCACCACTTGTTCGTAATTCCGGATTGAAATTCTTTCATTACTCCCATGAATACGTGGTAAGTCAGACTGTTTCATAATGGCTGGTGCAAATCTGTAGATACTTTTAGTGAGATTCCAATAATGTCTGGTGTCTGTGTTCGCTAACATTAAACCTAGGAATGAAAAATTTGAAAATGTACATTATACAAGTATCTTGTTATCTGGTCTATCAGAGTATCAAATGTATTTGTATAAACTTATACCTGCTGCTTATAATATAGGAAGCAAAGAACTTATAGTGAATACATGGCAAGGTGAACACTATTGTCACACGCAACGTAATATTACCGTAATTGGTATAGTACAGGTGTGATGGTTCAAATACCAAAATGGCAACAGTAACATAAAGACTTCCCTGGCGGCGATGATAACATACGAACACGGAGTCAACAGATGAGGTTTCAACTGGTACTGGTATTATTATACTCTGCAAACATCAAGTACAATAACTCGGTAAAACTCCAAACCTCCAATAACTAGATACTTAAACTCCAACACAATTCAACGAGATCTCCGATCTGATCTCAGTGCTGAACAACTCCCCTATATATACCCACATTGTCTATAAATAGACCATTACATCAGCATACATGAGTCTGGAACTAACTACAAATTTCTAGAATGTTCCATTACCTATTCAACCAGTTTCTAAAAATTCCACCCAGACACAGTACGGTTCTAGAACATTCTCAGTCACACGGAAGTGGTAAACAAGTCGTATGCGACAACTATGTTAATAATCAAAGTAAACATGTCTTAACATACTCAAATACAGATTTTGTATGGTACTAAATCACCTTGCTACACTTGTTGGCACATCAAGTCATTTTGCTACCAGGTATCCTTCAAAACGAAATTTTCAATAACAAATCTCATGATGCACAGAGACTGAGCTCACTAATAATGTACTTGTCTCACTTAGTGTCCATGCTTGGCTTAGTGCTCACCCCAGATTTTTGAGACATTTCTATTTTCGGGGTCATGTTTAGCTCAGCGCCCATCCCCTTCATATATAGCCCCAAATTTGAGTGTCTTTTCATAAAATCACTGTTTGACTTTTCTGAATACCGGTAATCAAATTTCTATAATACAGCATGGATATCGAGCGCAGTGAATATGTTGTGAATGCGACTACCATGGTAACCACGCATAAATTACGCTTCAACAATGACCTCAGTCAATACAGTACTGGTGTATTAAATCATGTTGCACTATATATACATATAAATCCTCACAACGCAGCAAGAAAGACTTTAGATGAACGGAATTAAACTCACCTGGAGACACCAGAATATTAGGAAATACTTGTCTAAGACTTTTACTTATTGTATAATAACCAAAACTATGTTCATCATGAGGCGATGTATGACTTGGTTCTAATGAATTAATCACTTCAAAGTGCAAGTTATATCCATCAGGGATTACTTCACTCATAATCTGATAGTCATAGTCATAGACCTAGAGAAAATATATTCATATCACAAATCACAGATTGAGCAACTCCATTTCTAGTTCAGAACACCAAATCCCTTTCAAAAAACAACAGGGCCGTTTTTTTTCAAACTTTTTGAGCAAGACCAGTAGCCAATAGTAAATTGTGTTCAAAATAGTGACACAGAGAATGATTAAAATATTGCATCAAAAGTAGAGAATACTGTATAAAAAGGAATTTTAGCTGCTATGCAGAATTATGTACACTTTGAAACAATAATACTCTTAGACCAGTTGCGTCAACAATTTCTGTATAAAGAAGAATTAAATTTATAAATGTTCCTGACTTACAAAAATGTGTTGTTTTTCTAGCTGTACCTGAACTTATGCAAATCACATATTTTTCCATACACGAATAACTCAACAGTATTACCTCTTTAACTGTCTGAGCGGGATGAATTCTTTGATTAATGGTGACTTCAGCAGATGAAGGAAGAACATTCTCCTGAAAATGACAAATGAAAAATATTAATACAATCGTCCATCCAATTTGTGTAACTCAACCCATATCTCAACTGCTATTATATCTATCATGTTTATCTTTGGGTTTCTTGCTTAGAAGTTTCTTAGGATTCTTAGAAGTTTTGAACTAGATTTCTGGGCTTTTACTAAGTGTATTAAAATAGTTGTAACCATGGTGGTTAATAAAACATTGTTTACTTACCAAATATCAACTCTTTTAGTCACCTTGCAAAATAACATATTGAAAGATCATGATATTTTTTTCAGATTGGTACAGCGAAGTGAAATTCACAAATTTTGCATAGACATGACATACTTTTCTGTGAAATACTTGTTTTTGAATGATGACAATTCTTGTGGTAACCAGTAGTGACATACCATAATTGCTTGTAGTCAAAATTAATTTGAAATTGGTGAACGGAATTTTGTTGTTGTTGCTACTATCAAATCAATTTTATTTCCCAATATTTCTGTTGACATATGAAACAAAAGACTGGCCATAATTCTTGTATAAAAGAAACATGTAATAAGCTATCACTATGGGCAGTAATAGGTAGTGTAGTAAAATGCAGGCATACAAAACACAGAGAGAAATATGTAACAGATGGAAAAAGCATTGAAATGAAGTCAAATCCATTGGGATCTCACAGAATTTACTATATATAATGGTGAAGGAACTGACCCTTGATTTTGATTTTGTAATCCTGGTCAATGATATCCAATATTTAAAAGAAATATCATGATGGGTTGTGGGTATGTGCTACTTAAAACCTCCAAATATAGGTGGTAGTTTGGATTATTTCTTGCCCTCTGTATAAATATTATCTCAAAGAAGGAGGATAGGATACATAGATAACAGCCATACATGTGTAATTGTTTGTCCATGGCATTCTATTTTATATATTTATATGTTCATATATTTCATTTGAACCTCAAGTAACCAAAAACAGAATTCCACAGAACAGAACTAAGGTATTAGAGGAAGGATCATACTAACTACTAAAAAGAGTGTAAATTTGCCTTTAATACGTAATAGCTCTTCTCCAATTGTCAAATAACAAGCGACCTGATGGTCGAAATAGCTTTGGTGTCCAACTAGAACATTGCGGTGGTAGCCAGGTTAGAATATTTGCCAAAAATAGAGAATTGATGATATGGGCACGAAATAAACAAATCTGATAGAGGTCCACCCAAGGTAATTATATATCAAAAAAGTCAAGCTGGTACTTATCGAGAAGTAGTTGAAAATAGCATTTATTACCAAAAATGACAAAAAGTTTTGCCAAAAATATAGAATTAAAGATATCGTCAGGAAATGAACAATTCTGACAGTGGACTACCCAAAGTAACTACATACCAAGAATCAAAGCAATTGAGTCGGTGGTTTTCAAAAAGAATTTAAAAATGAAATTGTTGATGGTTGACAACAAGCAATCACTTATATGAACAGCTCTGCTCTGTCGTCTACGATGACAGCGGAGTTAAAAAAAAGGTTGAGAAATGTATTCTGACTCACATTTGAAGAATGATCCTAATACACAATCCCTTATTCTATCTAATTTAGGCATAAAACTGAGAGGTCTGGTAACACGATTATAATAATGCCAAGTAACATACAAGAGAAAACTCACCTTCATTCCTCCAGAGATTATTGTTACTGCAGTGGTTGTTCTTATGATAGCATTGGTACTGGGTTTCAAAGATAATACATAACTAATAATGGGTGAAAATAACCATAGATTTGTCATCACAATACGTCCAAAAATATTCATCTACAAAGAAATATATAATTATAGAAACTTCACACAATGACAGTACTATGCTTGACCATTAACTCGATTTGATACAAGAACAAGAAACTTCAATTATATTCAGCGCCTTCTCTTAAATATAATTTATTGTAAACTGATCAAGTCGCTGTTTGTTATAAAATTCATATACAAGTAATATACTACCGGTATTAGTAAAGCATTTAGCCAAGTTTATATTTTTGTCACTTATTAAATTTATCTTTTGGCTAACTTTAGCAAAAGTATTGTCAATTTTAACTAGAATAGAGTGCTTTTTATATATTTGTACTTGCTTTTAAATACTATGAGATTATTATGAGGATGCAAGGTATCCACAACACATAGCAGAGGTTATTGTGACAACGTACTGTCCGAGTGCATACTTAGTGGTATTTTCATAATAATAACTTTATTACAGTATTATACATCTTTGCAACCCAACCACTTGATACAGGAAGCCCAGAGCTGAGCAAAATGATGAAGATTATTACACCTCTCTCACTGTGAACTTTGTTTTTAAAAGTGTCCACCATCTTGGAAATTCCACATAATCATTTCACATTCGAAATATGGGAGGATGCAGATACCTCATGCAATTATGTGCATTATACATAGAGATAAATGTTAGGAGGATTCTTTAATCTGGAAACCACTAATGCGGTGGACTTCCTTAACACAATAGTTTTGGCCAAGATCATAAATACTAAATTGTTTGCTTTGTCAACTACAAACTTGTTAAGCCACTTGGGGAAATGCAACATTAGCCAATAACAAATTTATGCAGATAATTTAAATATTAAGTTACTGCAATTTCCTAAACGATAATTTCCCAGACTTCTTAGTGGATAATGACACAAACCATTTCTCAGAATCATTCATGTTTTTGTAGACATCTGGTAGTGAATATAAGTAATATTATTTACTAGAGCCAAATCAGAATCTTGAACACGAGTAATAGTTATACCATACCTCAGGAGCTAAATCTTCAAACATTGCCACTTCTGGTCCTTTACCAAACACAATAGGCAGAGGATTTGATTCCAATCTATAATAATCAAATCAATAAAACTAATAAGGAGAGTTTTCTTTTCATTAGTTCGGTAACAGTAAAAAAAATTTCTTACAGACATTTTACGTCTTAGACAAGCTCTCAATCTAGCATTTTGAAAAACAAAATAACCGACATCGGGACCCATAATGTCTAATGTTTGTACCAAGTTGGAACGAAATCTATCCATAAACAAGAGAGATTCAGTTCCAGAATGCCAGAGATGCTTGAATTTTGATAATTTTTTAGCACTAAAATGGCCGCCATCAGATTTTAGACAAAATGGCCGTCAATTTAATCAAATCACAAAAAATAACACAAATTAACCCACATTATTAACTATGAGAATAATTTTTATATGCAAAATTTAAACTGAATCAGGCAATATATTAGTGAAGAATCGGACACAAATAAAAACAAGCAGCCTCTTTGCTGAGATAGCTCTGCTGTTAGCAATGCACATTTCAATTAAAGAAGTGAAGATATCACTAGAAAATGAACAAATCTGAGAGATTAGGTACCTATATGTATAGTATCAAAGCAATCGAATTTGCCATTTTCAACAAGAAGTCAAAAATATCATTTTTACCAAAAATAACAAAAATATTCATCAAAATTAGAAAATTGAAGATAATATCGTGAAATGAACAAATCTGAAAAGGGGTTTATCTGAGGTACCTATATATATAATATCAAAGCAATCAGACCTGCAGTTTTCAACAAGAAGTCAATAATATCATTCTCACCCAAATATCACTTTTTTTATCTTTAGATATCTTATGAAATGAACAAATTTAAAAGGGGTCTGCCCAAGGTACATATACACCGAATATCTAAGCAATAAGAATTGCAGTTTTCAAGAAGAAGTCGAAAGAGTGAGAAGTTGACATGAACGACAACAGACAATCACTCATATGATAAGCCCCGTTTGACAAAGTCAACAGCGGGGCTAAATATGGCTGCCAGTCAGCCATTCTTGATCAAATCATGAAAAAAGTACGAGGTAGATGCACCTGTAATCTCTGGGGAGCGGCTCCATACATGTTTAAGTATCAGAATTTAACAATTTTTAGGACAAAAATGACTGCCAGTCAGCCATTCTCGATCAAATGGTAATGAAAAATCATACATGGTCTGCATGTTAAGTTTGAATATTATTAGTCAAAGCATGTCTTAGAAATGGCTCTGGATGCATGAATAGACAGTCGGACCCAAAATCAATAGTCATTGATTTTGAATCTTATCCGACACAGGGACTAAAAATACACAGTGAAATAATGACAAAAAAGGTGGTATTTAATGCAAATTTAAGTCAAATTAGTTCAGAGGAATTAATTATGCAGTGGTTCGAATTTTTTTTTATCAAAGAAAATAAATAATGTATATGAAAGTTCAGGGCTGAAACAAGGAAAAAAAAAAAATCTATGTTGATATTTCATTTGTTAAATCCTAACATAGATTATACCTTGTAATTGCTTTTGCTAATTCACCAATTGTACTGCGCATTGGTGGCATTGAAGAATGGCCTGTGTTGGTGGTATTCAGCACAGCCCTCAGCGTCAAGTAGCCTTTCTCTGATACACCAATCCTACAAAAATATAACCATTATTGAACAGATAAAAACAATTAATGAAGTTTACTTTAAATACATCAGTGTAGTACATGCTACTACAGTTTTAACCAGGAATAAATCAAGATCATTGAACACTGTCCTCGATGTCAGATAAGCAACTCCAATGATACTCACATTGCTACATGTTTGTCTACCATGGGTACAATGCCATCTAAGATAACTGTCCCTTCATCAATAATAAATTCAATGTCCACATTTCTTGACTGCAATATTTGTGAGATAGTTTTAGCACCTACAGTTCCGGAGATCTGGAAAAAAAATAGATTATGATATATTTCATTTCAAAGGTGAAATAATGCAAAATACTCCATCACTTCCATTTGACAGTCAGTTGACTTTTATACTTCAATTAGTAGAGGCTGACTACTGAACAAATATATAAATAAACGTTCAGAAGTGTAGTTATAACAAGTCAATGTCCCTTCCAAGTTTTTAGTGACTGTCAAAATCAGTGCCAAATAATTATTTTCACTCTTGTGACAGACATGATACAAAGTGGAGCCAGTTTATTTGTGTAATTCCTTCCTTTAGTCTACCTGACATGACATTCATAATGCATTTCTATCACAATCAGCCATCTTGAATCAGATTCTGATTCAGTCTAGCTATGTTAGCTATACCCCTCCAAAAACAGCATTCATTAAAAAGAAAATAGCCATCCATTTGAATCAAATCTGGGAAAAAAAGAACCTATTATATTTAATGGACATACCAAGTTAGAATGAAATCTGTCCATGCATGACCAAGATCCAGTTCCGGAATGACAGAAATGCTTGATTTCGATGATTTGTAACACTAAAATGGCAGCCATTCGGCCATAATGAATTGGTTCATAAAACAAATACACATGTATGATATCATGTGTAATGTATGTGTCAAGTTTTAATGTGATCGGTCAAAGCATGTCAGAGGTATGACCCTGGAACTGCATTTTGTTAAACAAAATTGGACTAATAATAATCATTTTATTACTCTACAATTACTATCTAAGAGTACTGTTAGTATTGTAATGACAAATCATAAATACATTACACAATATTGCTTTAGACTATATATAAAAAGAAATATCCTTATAAATACCTCTTCATCATGTCCAAATGCAATATAAACTGTCCTTTTTGGTTTTTCTCCTCTCTGTAGCCGGAACTCCAATGCTTCTAGTATACCCTGATAGAATTGGAAACTTTATTAAAACCATGATTATGTTAAACAGGCACGTAATAGATTTATATGTCAGACAGAAACAAAGAATTAGAAACACAGGTGATGAGTCAGTGATTCAGTAGTTCAACGGCTAGGCAGATACTGAATTAAGGCTTCTAAGAAAGAAGGCTTCGATTGATTAAGAAATTTAACTACTTACTCCAATGTTTTTGGGGGTGGGTGGGGGGTGGAGGCATTTAATCATTTATTTTGAATTCCATAATTTGATAATTTTATTTTTTATTAAAATAATTTCTTCAATTATATTTTGAAAATAAGGTCACTTACACCTTACACAGGAGCTAACACCATTGCAAAATTGACATCTCCAGTTTGAGTTGAATTTTGCATTACTTGCATGGTATCACACATGTATATGCAATGCATTATGGGATAGAAATTCCCACTGTATATAACTCACTAAATTAAAGAAATTTTTTAATGTTACTTAGCAATTAATTAACAATAATGGATCACCATGTAACCACTGTCCCTCGGAGGGACGGTGATGTAACCAAGAAAAATTTGGAGATGCAATAATGTAATGTAGCAATAATGAGTGCAAAAATGTAAATTTTGATTATTTTCCACGACATTTTGGACTCTAAAAAATTGCTTTTGTGAACCAAAATATCAATCATTTCAGTATCGTAATGGTTTCAACTCATGTACAATTTTTTGTGAAACACTACATACCATCAGACAATGTTTGTCATCAACAGTTCCTCTCCCATAGATGAAACCATCTACTTCTTTACCTTGAAAAGGAGGATAGTCCCATTTCTGTCCCGCTACAGGTACCACATCCATGTGAGCCGCTAGCATGTAAGGCTGTAAGTTTTTATCTGTTCCTTCTACAGTGTATAGTAGACTGTAGTTAGCTACAACTTCTCGCTTCACAAGTGGAGATGAATGTATCGCTGGAAATACTGTCAAGGTACAATAAAAAAATTGTATTGTTTCATCTATCAGTGTTTTCTATCAGGAGTAAGGTTGTGCGAGACAATATAGAAAATTTATTGAATTTTTAAAGATATTCCATGCGGGTTTAGTTAAAGTATAGAGTTAAGATTCTCCAGATGACGTACTGCATTATATCCACTGATGCTGTCTAAGATATTAACAATGTATGTCAAAACTATGCTGGGCGACTCTCATTGAAAGAATACCATACTTCTTGGATCATAAGCTCAGGGGCGTCAAAAGGTAAAATCGGAGAAAGTAAGGGGTGGGCATATACCCAAGGACCACCTCAGAAAAAATTAAAATGTAAATCGAACATTTTTTAAAATGTTGTGTTCACCATGTGACAGATTACTGGGAATATTATGGTTTTTTGGGGAGAATAAAATTGTGAAATGAGTTGCGTCAGCATTGATTTCCACAATACTTCCACAATGAAGAAACAAAAAAGTTCTCAAAAAAAACAAAAACATTTTTAAACAATATTAGTAACAACTTGTTAATAATCAATTACAATGCTTAGTTGTATTGACTGATTTCTCCAGAAAAATTTCTGAATAATGAAGATGGACTTTTTTAACTTAATATGGAAGTGAATTACCAAGATATTAAAATATGATCTATTAAATTTGAACAAAAAAACAGAGACAATTTCTTACAAACTGGTGATTCATAATATTCAAGAGGTAAACTTAGTGTGGAGGAAATATGTAATATGGTCGTCAACAATTCATGTTGAAGCATAGTTTACATTTGCGCCCTCTATATTTCAAATGTACTTGAATTTGAATATTATGTATCAGGGTCATAGGGTAAATAAAGTAGTTCTACACCGGTAAACAGTGTCATCTGGTTGCATTTCTTTCATACTTAAATCCTACAATATTCTACTGGAAAACTGATTACAAAAATCTGTTGGAGACATATGATCTACAAACTTTCAAATGATTAACTTAAATTGGAGCCTGAACAATGTACTTGGAACCCTGGCACAGATTGTCCAGTAACTATAAATGGCACAAGTGAGATGATAATAATATAGTATCTTTACTATCTGGTACTGAAAGAAATACATTTGTAATTCCAACAAAATAGGAACAAAACTACGGTAAATATGGTAAGATTAAAATGATAGGACCCCATCTTCACAAATCCTTGTTTACTGTGACCGAATTCCTGATTGCCAGTTTATTTCACACCTGTTCCATGTAAGAATCACTGTGCACAGTATTGAAGTTTAATAGAAACACTGTTTATATACTGAAAATAAAGCTACTTGTTTTATTAGGACCCTGTTCTCTGAGTTCTTTTTCAATTTTCTGAAGTTAATATTCAGAATAGTGAGATTTGTTGATTGAATGCATATGTATATGAAAGTGTATTCATTGATTGTTAATTTTCTGTGGGAGATTTGTTTTGTCTGCAACAATCGTACCATAGCTAGTTATGCCCCTTGTTTATACCCACCACTCTACATATAGACTTTGACTTCTGAAATCACATTATAATCTCTGATTTCTAAAATGTCACGAGATGTCACCTGTGCTGTATCACTCAGGATTTCTAGAACGGTAAACTGCTATATTTTTACATATAACGAGACAAAAGACAAAGAGTCATGCCAACAAATTTTGTCCACAAGAATGACATTAAATCCTAAAAATTATGAAAAATCCTAGCAGCGAAAAATTGAAGTGCACTTTCATTTTAGGTAGTGCATATAAACCAAAAATTACATTGAATCATTAAAATTTAACTTATCCTGAGTGATACAGCACTTATGAAAACACTCTTGTAATGTATGCTCACATGTTTCTAATTTACCAAATATGCTAAACAGCATTTTTATATACCCTATATATAAAATATGTTTTTGAAATGCAGTCCCTCGGCCCCTTGGACATTTTCGCCGATTTTTAGTCGCCAGAGTGATTCACGTCCCAAATTTTGGTTCTCCGGGCGTCTCTAATAAATACTCTAACCGCTGGACTGAATTAGCGAAATTATGAAAAATTCATAGAAGATTGGGCGAAAATCGGTCGTTTTTGGCCTCAAGGGTTTTTTGCTCGGAAACGCAAGGGCGATAAGACTCGATTTTCAAGAACGCAGGTCGCTCGGATCGGACGTTTTCTATTGTTTCGAGTCCGTTGTGTGTCTAGAAACATAACAACTTTGTTTTTTGGTGAATATAGAACATGCTCTGTTCCAATAAAGGATTTTGATATGCAAATCGAACAATTTTAATAGTTCCTTATTGTAACGTCTCCTTACATAAATAGTCCTCTACTCCCCAGAATTTGACAGTGGTACTAGCCCAGAATGGACTTTCTGTTCAGCGCATCTTTGATTGTAGCAATGTTTACGCCACTGTACGAAAATACGCACACTCGCAAATTTAACAACATTCACTTGAGCGTTTTAAGATAGTGGGAATATAAGCAAATAGATGGAAATGAAGATTGATGATTCGATTGCTGGCCGGGATAGATGTATTAAGTGTCTATTTCTAACAATATGTCTACACATGCGATTCTCAATTTCGATGAATAAAATCATACCGCTGCTGTGAACGGCAACAGATTGTTTTGGTTTTGCGGCTCTCTTGGCATGGGCAACTGATTTTTAGGTTTGTTTTTATATATTCTGACGTTTACTTGGTCGTATTTTGTATATACCACTCAGACATTGACAACAAGTGAGTAAAGGGACCGGGACATAGTCAACATGGGACTCTGAAGGCCCGGAGAAAGCGTCATCTTACAACATTAATGAACGAAATTTACAATATCATTCTTCCGAACAATCTGATATTTATGCTGGATAACAAAGTATACAAGTACTGTCTACGATATACTGCAAAATGGAAATAACATACCTATTTAACCGTTGTTGATTTTTTTACAAAATTCCAAGAACACAAAACAAACAACTGACAACAATTGACAAAACAAAAATACTTCACAGTCACTGTAGCCACACCAGTAAGAAAAAGATACTGTGGAAACTCATTGCAAATGTAAATACAAAATAAATGTCAGTGAATACAATATTTATTAATTTGCAGCATCCATGGACAAGTTCACAGGAGAATTAATACGTGAAAACACTGGAAATCACACATACAGACACACAAAATTGATTTATCTTAAATTTGTAGGAGATACATTTGGCACGAAGCTATCCAGTTTTTTGTTGTTGCCAAGTTTGAGGGAAATAGGCCAAGCCAAAACAATCACAAAAGAATTAATACGTGAAAACACTGAAAATCACACACACAGACACACAAAATTGATTATAAGGGCAATCCTAGCGGAGCGGATCGTCAATAGTGAACAAAAATGTTCGTAAATATTACTGACTGCAAAGGACGCTCATCGCGAAGCGACTTGTAATTATATTAAGAAAATTCTGATATGTTCAAAACATTGTATATATAATACTCTGTATCCAAAATAAAACAATTGTCTAACTCTAAGCATAGAGCATTCAGTTTTCAGTTTTTGTGCACGTGCTAAGTCTATATATATCATATACTAGTAAGAGGGCAAAGTTTAAACACTTCACTGACCATGAGCATTTCTATCTAGGCTCGCATATTGCTCATATATTGGTTAGCTGACTCACTCGCCTATCAAGTGTATTCGACTGTAACGGTATTCAAGTATTCTACCCCATAGCAGCAAGGTAAGTCAATTGAACATGCGATTGCATACGACCAGATAGCTCACCTTCTCCTAAAAATGTGCCGAATTTTGCTAGTTCGGCATCATTTTGCTTTTGCTGGCCGTACGATATGGTTTCAATGGCGATCGCCCGCTGTAGGTTTCGCTTGAGTCTGTCGTCTGCTGCGATGAAATCTGTATCGTACGGAGCACATTCTTGTACAATTTGTTGTCTCGAAGGAAAAGTCAGCGTTCTTATTGTGACAATAATGGCTAAAAAAATGAACACTGCTCCCAGATATGTACAAATCTTGCTGAAAACACTATGTGATCTAGTCTTCTTCGTCGCCATCATTATCACCCAGTGTCAAGTGCCAGAGTTCAAATGTGGGTCGAACCATTGGTATAACAGGGACTGCAATATCACGGAGCTCATTCATTAAAATTCTTTTCATGATTGTATAGCTGTATACAATATAATTTACTACTTGGAGCATGGAGGTATTATTATAAGATTACATCTTCATACTCCATGACGAGATTAAAGTCATCGTGTCACGCAACTAATAACTCGAACGAAGAACTGGCGGCGCTTTTCAATCCAAATAAAATGTTGGTCAATATTACATATACTCACAGATTCATCACAGTAATCCTAAACACATTTGTTTTGGTCATGGTGGAAAACATTTCATGTGACTTCCTATTATATCCCCTTCGTTTGGTCTTCTGCGACGTCGTCTGCGAATATCACTTATTTGCTCCAGCGCCATGTTGGCTATTCCGTTTGAAAACTCCACCCATTTTGACACAATGTATACGACCAGGATATCATAATACTGACAATAAAATAATTTACACTAGTTGTGTGATCGGAACAATATCTAATACAATTTGTTTAAAATCGTGGCAATATATTGTCCAGCATTCAATAAACAAAAATGTGCTTCAAGATGTGTAAAATTTCGAAGGGAGGTAGGCAAAAGTGGAACAGCGTCATTTATAAACAGTGCTGTAGTGAGGTTGACAGACTCTGCGCTGATCAGTAGAACAGCTGGAGTGGTTAACAGCATTTTGACTTGTAGCCGCACGGAAAGCTGTATTTCTACGATCATCTGAATTGTTATTAATGGCGATGCTAGGTGCGAGTACCTTTGTCAGAAGACTGTCAACGTCGAGGGTGAGTGTACAGTTATTTCAGTGGCTATATTATTGGATTATTGAAACATCTGGAAGCGAAAGTTACAGTAAAACGTGATCATATCGGCATCGTGGCCGTGAGTTTCCACATGTTGAACTTGAAAGGCGCATTTCTTTTGCTGTTTTGCCTCGTGTTTTTGGTCGATTTAAGTTGAGTCAGAACCAGGTGTTGCGCAGTTTACCCGATTTTGAAGGAGACGTCCGTGTAGGGTTTCTCAATTTTTGAATGATTGCCAGGTTAATAATACCACAGTCCCTCAACACAGAGGACCGCAGTCACAGGTCACACCAAACTACACCATACATGTGTGAATGTGAAAACTTCTTTTGCTGATGATGCATAATACGAATCGGTCAAGACCGGTTATTTTGGGTTCACAATTGACTAGACTGGAGTTCTCAACGCAAACAACACAGCTTTCACGTGTACTGGTGCGGCGAACATTGCGTGTCAGGCGGTAAACAACAGTACTAGTATCTTAAACCACAGTATGAAGGAACTGTGGTTAAACACCGTCCCGACGGTGTTGAGGGACGGTGGGTTAAACTATGGGCGGTACTAACACTTGGTTCGTCCATGGTTAAACTCAATTTCAGTATTACATTGCTCCACCTGAAGAAACACTTTTCTATTGTTATAATACAATTATATAATATAAATATTGGATCTAATATTTACATGAAATATTGTGATTTAAGGTATGTCTGGCTACTGTATTTTGATAAAATCATATCAGTGTCTGATCACTGACATAGGGTATGATTTAACATTCACTTCAAAAATATTTTAGTGAGCATTTAATATTTTTTTAGTAAATACTTCACAATTTTATCCATTGTACATGATCATATTCAGTAATTAGCTATATCTAACAGTGAAGCAAAATTAGACATTATCATTAATATTCAGTGATTAAAAAGAAATAAAAACACTTGGTGACTTCATTGAATTACTGCCAGTTTATAGAATACTAGATGTAGTTATTACCACAGTAGTGTTTGCAGTGCATTTATATAGTCTAACTGTTTTGTCATTTTGTTCATGTACTCCCTTGAGTCTGGCAGACAAAATTGCTTTGATAGAATTGATGATGTACTGATAATGCATTGGAATTAGTTAGATTTCTAGCATAACATTTGCAGAATGACTGAATATTGTCAGGATATACCTGTAAAGAAAAAAATCTTTCTCATTCAATTCACATATCCATTTACTGTTAATTGCATCCTAAGAGACTGTAGGTTTGTAAGTAGGACTGTATTACACATATCAAATTCACACCTTTTATAAAGTATTTAAAGTTGTTTACAATGCACAATGCGCACACAGGCCAGGTGAACCATAAGGATTCTAAGGTGGGTGTCGCTGTGTGAGTTGTGATTAATAACACATGTAATGTTTGTACATACTTTACATACTACCATTGTTTTCATGTTTATTAAACTATGTAACACCAAGTTAGAAATTACTTTCCATTGCATTATTATAAAATCCTTACATAATATTATAATTTTTGTTTTCCAATGTTTTTGTGCCAGGTGACAGTTGTGGACAATGAATGTCACTGTTGTCTCTCCTGACTTATATTTTTGTATGTGCATATGATATTATAATTAGAACATCATTCTTTTTTGTGACCAGACCTTAAATATCTTTGGAAAAATCATGAATTGTTTACTCTTTACTAAGAAAGTTGAATTTTTATTAAATTAAGTTAACATGAAAAATGTAAATAATTATTTGAAGTAGAATTTTGCAATCATTAGATTTTTTTACAGATTAAAATTGAAATAGCAAAAATAGATAAGAATGATCAATAAAGGTAAATTTTTTTTTTTTAATTCCATGTTAAGGCCAGGTATATTCAGCTTTCTTATTATTACACAAAAAAACTACAATAATGCTTTTCAAGACATGGCTCACCAATCTTGTGATTTTCCATGACTACTGAAAAATGTTGGTGCTTTTCCAAGTTTCATCTCGACCTTCCCCTCCTGTATTATGCACAATTGTTTAAAATTTAACTGCTTTTTGCCCTCATAAACTTATATTGTAGGTTTATATTTTAAAAGAGTATGCAGGTATAGCCCAATGAGTTGAGATTGTTGGTTTAACAATGTTGCATCTAAAACTTCAAGCATACTATTTTTTCTTGGAACCAACTTTCACTAAATCGTATACAGTGAACTGCTTTTACTCTCACTGGTTTTCATGTAATTCAAGCCAAATCACTGAAAATAAATTACCCAATGGTCATCCCAATTTGTCCTTTTCTTTGAAAATAAGATCCTTCTAAAAGTAATTCACGGTAAATCAGTATAATATACCATATACTGTATTTGCTCTATTAGTAGTCCCTATGCTTACAGAAATGATATGGATGTGTCTTTGGTCAAAATAAATATCATTAATGACCCAGCATACAATAAATGCATTTTTGTTTTTCTGTGTGCTTCTATTAGAAATGATAATCTAATAGAGAAAATGTGATACATGTCAACCATTTATTTCCCAAGGTTCAAATTTACATGAATATACATCAATATATTTATATCCAAATTTGTACATGATGCTTAGATGCTTCCTTTTACATTGTACAACATTTTTCGCTTCATGTGCAGTTGTTTTCCAGAAATATCTCAATAACCACTGTGTGCATCAGAATATGATTTAGTATAAAAAATATTTTGTGATATTAACTCAAGACCTGATTTTGGTACAAACCTATGCATATTAATTAGGTGATTTGCATACTAACTCATTTCAAGGTTGTATGTTAGTTATTCAGGTCAGAGAATATTGAATTCACTTCACACAGAAACATTTTCTAGCATCTCTAGTACCCTATGTAATTGTGTAGAAGAACCTAATAGTGTTGTAAGTGGCAAATTATTTACAATGTCCAGTTCTCATAGTGATGGACCCTGGGACATGTTGGTGTCCTACCTAATATCAAAAGACATTTCTTATTGGAACTTACTTCATGAAACTGTGTTTATCGATTTTAATGTAATTTGGACTAATTTTTTGAACGGTGGTCATGAATATAAACTCACCACATTTTGGTCATGACCTTCCAAAACTGTTAATGGGAAAATATGCATACTGTAGAATACTTTATTTTCGCTTGGAATTTATTTTCGCTATTTTCGCTGAAGGGATGATTCCGTGAAAATAAAATCCAGTGAATATACTTTTTTCCCTATATTTCACATTAAACTCATGAAAAATCAGTGAAAATAAATTCCAAGCAAAACGCCCAAAAAGCCTTTTCAGCGAAAATTAATTCCAGCGAAAATAAAGTATTCCACAGTATTCAAAATCAACAAATAATTTTAAATAAATAACATGCAAAATGTTACTATTGAAAAAATATTTCATTCACTAGGGATATGGGTCTCTTGTTAATGTCTGTCATATCTTGTAAGATGATGTTATTATTATGTAATAAAAATTCCTTGCAGTGTTCAGTTATCATTAATCTTTTATCTCAGTTTCTGGTAAAATGTTAAAATATTAGAATTTTCATTGAAGCAGATACTGCAGAAATTTCTGAAATTAATCTCATTATTTTCTATAATGACATTTCTTGGTCAGCAAGCATTCATACTTTGAACATAAAATAAATTTCATTATATATGAATGAGATAAAACTGCCTTGTAAGTATTGTTATTAAATTCAAATTTGTTCCAAATCACTGAGTTCTAGCACAACTAAGCCACTCTCTTCAATCTCAGAACAGAGCTTTTTCAAAATTACCATCTATAGGGTTTTTATGGTTGCTATGGAAACAGCAATAGAATTTATTTAAATTATGATTTTGAAGTCAATTTAAACTGGCATTTACTGTTGAAACATCACTCGATAAAGCCTGCCATGGATAGCCAAAATAAATGAGAAAAACCAGCATTAACAAACGATGTGTTAATGTATTATTTTATGTGTTAATTTGAGGAGGAACAGTTTGCAAAATCACCCATAATGCATTGTACCTATATGATGTTTTAAGTGCTCATAATAGTGTTAGGCAACCAATTTGTTTATGAGACGAAAGACAGTCAACTGAATATTAAAAATCAAAATTAAAAAATGAAAGTAAATGGAAATTGGGACAAGCTTTACACTTTTTATCAATATCATTTTTAAAACATTTTCCCGTATGGTTCTTCTTTTATTGCTAAATGTAAAGATGCAACAATTGTTATTGCAAGTGAGGACTTGACACTGTCCTGTCCATTTTTACTGCAAAAGTATTACACCCTGGATTTTTGTTTTAATCTCTGGTGTCCTTAAATTGGCATGAACTGGTATTTTTAGCTACTGAAAAAAAAAATACTGTTGTAAACAATTTGACCTGATGAACTTAAATCTATGGCCATTTAGGACTACCGTTTACACTGCACGTAATCACAATACTCTGAACTAGGTCACTTATTTCCTTGTGTACATTTCCTGTCAATACAAACACGCGTAGTGATTGGCTAGTGGAATAGGGTATGAAGTGGGTGTGTTCTGGGCAAGACATATCACCTGATTCAGTGACCTTGAAACAAACTGTCCATTAAGATGATTGACAATGGTCCCAGCATTGTTTGCAGCTGTCATCTAGCATGTGTAGCATCTCCTAGACAAGATTAGAGGCTAAATTGTATTTAAATTTGATCAGCAGTTTTTTTGCTGACTAATTATTGTATCAAGTAAAAAGGTAAGCTTATTTAGTATCTATTCACAAAACAAACAAAAATATTCTGTTCTTCTGAATTTGTGAATAATGTGATATTATGATAAAATTATAAATGCATGGAGCATAATTATTTCACTAAAATAAATAGTTGTTGCAGTGATGATTTCAAATTATTTATAGTTCTAGTTTGGACAAAGTCCAAAAACTCTTATGAATGTGTCCTTGCACTTATTTTCTCAAACCTTCTTTGATTTATCTAGTTTAATTGATTAAATATGGCCAACTGATATCCTC